TTGTTCTTTTGCATACATGCACATTGCATTACATGCATAAGCTCTATACCCTAGTTTTAACCCTAATTAGGAGGAAGTAAAGTAGTTACGTCCTCGAAAGGTGTAAACCTCCAGAATGACTAATGAAATACTCACACTCAAATTAAACCATTTTTCATTTATAGCCAGTAATGGGTGAAGATCGGGGTACCACACTAATCTGTGATGGACGATGATGTGAGGAGCATGGGAACCTTAGATGCGTCAATTCTCGACCCAACATATAATTAGCTTTTAGGGAATCAACCTTAGGTAAAGCCATGCAACACCATTTCCATAGAAATTTTCTCAATTAACTCACATTTAGGAACACCTCTTACTTTTCTCATTTTTGTTTTGTAGTTAATTTGATAATTTATATTTATTGCTCTTAAATAAGGACATAGGAATCATTAGAAATGACAACAAAAACAAAAAACCAAAAACCAAAAAAATCAAAATCACTAAATTAGATTATTTACACGAAGTGTTATCTCAATTTTTGTAGGGTAATTTGAAAACCCTTAAATTAGAGATATTTTTGAAACTCTATCTACTTATAAGAGAGTGAAAGAAGTGTTTCAATGTTTAAGGTGTTTTCATCTTGATCCAAAAATAAAAATTTTTTTCTTTTTTTAAAATTTGATTTGTTTTTGTTTCTAAAAAAGAAAAGAAAAAAAGAATTAATTTTAAATATTAAGGAAAATAGAATTCAAGAATAACATGCAATATCAATACCATCTTCAATAGATACTATGGAAGTGCTAATTCTTTTTTACGCGTAACTAACTTTTGGACGTAACTCTGATTTTCACAAACTCCAAAGTGTTCTTTTGTAAAATTTTTAAACCTATTTTTAAATATTTTGTAAAAAGATAAAACTTTTGGGTGGCCAATCACACTCTTAAAAAAGCTTAGTAGCAACTCTCTCATTTTTATTTTCATTGAAAATGTTTTTTAGTCCCTGTTTTCCAATTCATCATTCGTCCAACTTTCGGATCACCCAGCCCCGGATTCCAAGACGTTGCCACAATAGTCACGGAAAATCATGTATAATTGGCAAATTAAGTAACTATTTTCAGACATTAAAATTATAATAAAAACCAAAAACTATAATTATATTCTACATAATTCACACGATTTAAGAACTATACACAGTAGAGAGTATACGTTATAACTTGATCATAAAGATAATTAATGGAATAAAGATTAGAATAAAATATTTAAAGAGAAAATATTTTCGTAATAACTAATAAATGCAAAGGATTCTATTTTGTAATATTCAAGTTTACTGATAGAATAGAGATTAAATTGATAACGAAGGCACAAAGATTGGAATAAGGGCAATGAATGATGAAGATATAAAAGGGCAAGAGGATTCCATGATTTGGGTCAAAAAATTATGCGGCTGCCGGCCTTGGCTTTGTCAAATAGGAGAGCCTTAATTAGCCAGCCAAATTAATTGTAATGACGCAGTTGGATCCCTCAATTAGCTCTCATTCATTCCTATTCCCATACTCTCTTATTCTCTTAAAAGTTTTTTTTCCCATCAGCCAAAATTTAGCCAATTTCAAAAAAAAATCTCATACAAATTTTTTTTTTTGTTGAGATTTTAGTCAATTTCAACAGAATAAACTTATACAATGTCATTAAATCACATGTTGACACATTAGCAATGAATAAACTTAAAAGTTGAAAAGTCTTTAAAAATGTATTAAAGTCACTTTTTTATTATTTATATTTTAAGACTTTTAATTTTTAGGATTTACTCATTAATGATGTGTCAACATGTGGTTCAATGATAGTGTATATAGTGTATACATTGTCAATGCATCAAATATAACTCTTACCAAAAATAACATTTATAATCAAGGAAAATCATGTATAATTGGCAAATTAAGTAACTGTTAATTTCCATGCATTAAAAGTATAATAAAAACCAAAAACTATAATTATATTCAACATAATTCATACGATGTCTAAGGAGAATTATATATGCTAGAGAGTATATGGTATAATCTGATCATAAAGTCAGGGAATAAAGATTAGAATAAAGTATTTAAAGAGAAAATATTTTTGTACTAACTAATAAAAGCAAAGGATTCTATTTTGTAATATTGAAGTTTGTTAATAGAATAAAGATTAAAGTGATGATGAAGGTACAAAGATTGGAATAAGGGCAATGAATGATGAAGATATAAAAGGGCAATAGGATTCCATGATTTGGTTCAGAAAAATTGTGTGCCTGCCTGCCTTGGCTTGGTCGAATAGGAGAGCCTTAATTAGCCATTCAAATTAATTGTAATGATGCAGCTGGATCCCTCAACTAGCTCATCCATTCCCTCTGAAATAACTCTGCAAGCAGAGGTTATTACCTACATGGACAGTGATTTGTTCAAAGCCGCAGAAAATGGTGACATGGAACTATTTAATAAGTATCAAGGTGGTCTTCATTGCCTGGTTGACGGAAGGCAAAACACAGCGCTCCATATTTACTGCAGAACCGGAGGACGACTGGTAGTCAAAATTGATAAACGGTTTCTGTTTTTTCGGAAAAGGAGATTTGAAAGAGAGTTCTCCATTAACTTTGTTAAGCAACTTATCGACGAGTGCCCATCACTGCTACTGCAACCCAATGCCAAAGGAGAAATCCCATTGCACGTAGCAGTTAGACACGGTCATTCTGATATAATCAAATTCCTTATTGAACGCGCCAAAGACCTGGAAGCAACCAGGATGAAGCAGATGCTGGAAATGGCGGATAAGGAGGGAAACACTGCTTTGCATAAGGCAGCTGAAAGTGCTGACCATGTAGTGGTGCGACTGCTGGTAAAGGAATTAGATCCTGACTTTTCATCCTCCGCTAATAAAAGCGGTGAGACTCCAATCTACATAGCTACCGTAAGAAGAAGCAATCTTTTGGTGGCTGGGATATTGGATAATTGCAAGTCAATGGACTGTGGCGGCCCTGATGGTAGAACTGCTTTGCATGCAGCAACCATGGCCATAAATAAAGGTAAGTGAGCTCAATGTTTTGTGTGATCCATTGTTGTTTTGGGTTAATATAATTAAGACTATGATTGACTCTTTTATTTTTTATTTTTTAAAACAAAATTTGAATAAAAAATTAAAAATTTAAACATGATAGAAAACCAAACATAAATATATATATATATATATATATATAACAAAACAAAACAAAAAAATCTTTCGAACAAAAATTTTTTAAGTCCCTCACTCGTCATTTCACGTCATTAGCCAAGTAAACCACTTTTCCAAATGGCAAGGTAAGAAAAAAAATAAATTCTTTATATTTATATATATACACACACATAAAAAAAAGTTCTTATCCTGATGTGGATATGATAATGTGGCAAAGTTCTTACCATGTGTTAGAAGCTCGGTTCGTGATCTTTTAACGACTAAAGGAGCAAACAATAATACTTATCTATAATATAAATGTTATATATTTTTGGGTGCAATGTGGCATCTCATGAGCTTTTTTTTTATGTTTAATAATTAATTTTATTTTTTGCTTTTTTAAAATTTTGTATGGAATCTATTTGATTTTTTTTGTTATTTTAAATTGGATATTTTTTAAAAAATAACAATAGAGATGTGGATAAGACATTCAAAGTTTTTTTCTTTTTGTTAATTTATTATTAAATTTTACAAGAAAATGAGGCCAAATGGTAGTGTCACCTAGGTGTCCACGTCGCACCAATATTTGGATTTTTTTTCTTTTTTATTATTTTATTATTTTTTAATTAGATAAATTTTATAAAAAAATAATATAGACAAAAATGACAAAATAATCCATTTTTACGGATTTTGACCCCTTCAGATCTAATAGGGTGTTCTTTTTCTAAATTGATATTTGGTTGGGAAAGGGATTTTTTTTTTTTCAAAAATCGTGATTGGATCAGAGGCAAGTTTAGGTTTTTTGTCTTGGGATATATAAAACTATATAAATTATTTATTTAATTTTATATTTATATATGTATTATATTAATAAATTTATTTTTAATATATTAATTTAATACAAATACAACATTTATACATAATTAAGATGAAATTTATATAAAAATTTATACTTTTATAAACATTATACTAAATTAAAATTATTAAATTAACTCCAAATCAAGTTGGATCAAATGCATATGTCTATATAAATGGCTGGTCAAAATCGGGTATATAAAAAAAAATCTAATGCCAATTAAGAGTCGGAGTATTATTAAAATTATTAAAGAGTCGGTTCGATGTCAAGGCAATTTTATACCCACCCAACCCGATCAGCACCATATCTAAAGGTAAGGTATCTAAATGGCACCTCCATTTGATTTTTTTTTCTTTTTTGCTTTGGCCCTTTTCTAATTTTAGCTTTCTTTTTTTTTGTAATTTTTAATTGTCTATTTTAGTATTTTTTTTAATTATGTTTGGAAAGATAAATGATCAATTGAGGTCTTCACATGACACCCCCATTTAGTTTCCATTTTTTGGCCTTTCATTTTTTATCTTTTTTTTTAATTAGATAAATTTTGTGAAAAGCAATCTTGACCCCATCTATTATCATCTTTAAGTAGAGGTATCCACATTGTATCTAAATCTTTCTTCTTTTCCTTTTTATTTTTTTGGACTCATTCCTTTTATTTTTAACTTTCTTTTTTTAAAATTTTTAATTTTAGTATTTTTTAACTACGTTTTAAAAGATAAATTTGAAAATGTGAATTTTGATTTGATATCTTATATAAGTTGTGAGAATGAAATACACATGGTACAGAAATTAATTAATAAATTTTCACTAATCAATATTTTTATTAAAAAATTACAGATAAAACTATATTTACTGATTAAATTCATTATGAACAGTATTTATTGCACACAAAAAAATTTAATTCGTGTTGCGAGTTTGTATCTAGTAAATATTAGTAATTAAAATATATTTTTAACATTAAATGATGAAAATAGAAAAATCTCACAAAATATTTCATACATATATATTCCATATATATATATATATTTCATATATATACCAGTACGGTTGAACTTTTTCTCTTCGTTTTGTTTTGGTAGAATCAGCGAGGATAATAATAGAGGCACAAAAGCATTTAACAAAAGAAACTGATGACAAAGGGCGGACTCCACTTCACTATGCCGCCCATTTGGGTCTCCGTTCAATTGTGCAACTGTTGTTAAAAGCCGATCCATCTACTGCTTATATAACTGATAAAGAGAGAGGGACGACGGCTCTTCATATGGCAGCTTGGAGTGGCCGCACAGGCATAATGGAAGACATTATCTCCTACTGCCCAGGTTGTTGTGAAATTGTGGACAAAAGAGGATGGAATTTTCTTCACTTTGCAGTCGTTTCTTTAAGACCGGGAAAATTGAAGAGATTCTTATTTGATGATAACAATAAGATTAAGGATTTACCAGTTAGAAATCTTATAGATGAAAGGGATATCAACGGGAACACGCCTTACCATGTCCCGCGTTTGAGGAAATCTTACAGTGCTAGATATTTTGGAAAAGTTATTCGTATTTTTAAACATCATGGATCTGAAGGAAGTTTCTACCTATATTCAAGTACAGAATCGAAGGTACGACAGCTGGCTCCACCCTACTTTAATTAAGTTTTACATTTCCCATTATATATACATAATTTTACATTTTATCATTGTCATTATATATTTGATTGGAAATTTTTTTTTAAAATTCTACCCATAAGCAAGTTAAATAGACATTTCCTTTTTTATTTATAGGTTTTATTTAATTGAGACAGTCAGGATTATAGTTTTCGTTTTTTTCACTTGGTTGTACAGTTCTTACATAAAATATGTTTTTATGTGAATTTGAAATTTAACTTAATTAGTTTATATAATTATTTTTAAAAATATTTAAAGTAAATCTAAAATTTAAATCTCAAAACCTGTAATTTCTTTTTCAATTTTTAGACAATGGCTTCTTATATACAAAAATATATATATACTTCGATATATATATTTATATGTTCTTCTGTTTTCTGATATAAATAAATAGTTTATTTCATTGTAAAATCAAATATATCTTCAATAAAATAAAAAATATAATAAATAAAAGTATTTTTTAAAAGCAAACAAAGTATTTTTATTTAAATATTGAATTAGTAGATTTTTTTATTTGTAACATAGGTAGTTGATACAGTTATTTTTAAAAATATTCAGAATAGATCTGAAACTTGAATCCTAAAACCTACAATTTCTTTTCCTATTCTTAGTCTCAGGCAGTGACTTTTTATATACAATATATATATATATATATATATACTTCAATATATATATATATTTATATATTTATATGTTCTGATATAAATAAATAGTTTGTTTCATTTGTAAGATCAAATATATCTTCAACAAAATAAAAAATATAATAAAAAGAATACTTTTATAAAGCAAACAAATTATTTTTATTTAAATATCGAATTAGTAGATTTTTTTATTTGGAACATTGGATTATGCAATGAGAAGGAAGTTTCTATCATTTCATGTATCTCACTTTTTCCATCCCAAAATTCTATAGAATGATCAAAATTAATCATTGTTGAAATCAACGCGTAATTATGTGCTGCAAATGGAACAGATTATGGAATTTATGAAAGATATAGCTAATAATGCAGAAGTGGCGGGGAAACCGGTTCACCGCAACTTCCGTGAGATTGTGAAGGAGGTGGAGAAGGAGGATATTCCCGAACACGAAATTGAACAAAAAGCTAGGGAGAACCATTTACTGGTGGCAACGCTTGTAGCAACCGTAACATTTGCCGCAGCATTCACAGTACCTGGTGGAAACAAGAGTGAGCAAGGCACTGCGACCTTGAGTCGTGACTCGGCTTTTCAAGCCTTCATTATAACAGATACCCTGGCATTTGTTTCTTCTCTTTTAGCCATCTTCCTTCACTTTTTCTTAGTGCTTTCTCCTGGGAAAAAACACTATTTCCTATTTCGTTTGCAATGTCTGGCGGATTGGTTAACTGTTTTGGCAATGCCAGCGATGGTGGTTGCTTTCAGCACTGGTACTTACGCAGTGTTGCAATCTTCCTTGGGGTTTGCTATCGCCACTTGTTCCCTTGGCCTCATGTTCTTTCCCGCTCTGCTCACGATCTTCAACTCTTTCTTAGGTTTTATTTTATTTTCGGTTGTGTGGTTAATTCGTGATTTTTTTTCATCTTTAAAAAAAATTTATGATGTTTTTGGTTAAATTATCATATTAATTATTTTATTTATTTTCTTATTGACATTGAAGTCCTTAATTATTAAAATAAGCTTCCTTTAAATGATCTGTTTTATTAGTTAAATTTTATAAAATTTTTATCATCTATTTTCTTGCTTACAAACAATTCTTAATATTGATTTTTATTGTTCTTATTAAATTAATGCCCTCTGACATGTATTCATCCTCCCAATTGATGTCTGAATTATTATAACACATATATACTGTATCCATATAACCAACAGTCATTAATGTCAGAAATCATATAATAACAGCATTATATATAATCTCTATATTTATTGCTTCTCTTTTCAATCATTAATGTGCCCTTTATTCATGGTACGGAAAATCTTTCCCTTTAATTATTTTAATTTAATCTTTATTTGATGAATTACATTTTTTGACTACTACGTTATACTTTTGCATAGGGTTATAATCATAAAGTTTTAGATTCAAAATTTACTAGGTGTGAATTTAGTTATCTTCTTATTTTTTAATTCGTAAGTTAATTATTTAATGATTATAACTTAATTATAATATAATAATTTATTATTCAATTAATTATATAAAATAATTCTTAATTATAATTGTAATACTTTAAAACAAATACTATTCCATCAGCAACAATTCTTAGTTCTTCAACTCTAGTTTGAGCTTTGAATTTTTTTTTTTTTAAGTCAAGTCGTTATATTAGAATCTCCACAACTTGCAAGGTCTTTTACTCGTATTAAGCATGGCAATCGTTGAATCTGTCTTGATAATTAAAGAAATATTACCAACCAAATAGAATTGAAAAAAGCTTCTAAAGCCACTTAAATAGCATGCACTTCAGCATAATTTGAATCAAACACAACTAGAGGATAAAGGGAAGGTATATATCTTTAAATTAGCATTAATTATAGTTTGGGTCATCTCGAGACAATTCCGGCTTTGAATCCACTTAGATTTGGATCCTATCAAATTCAAGCTACTTTGGGTTTTTCTGTTTCAGGTTTGATCAATCTTGGATTATTACAATTTGAATATTCTCAAGTTTCAAATTCAAGTTTTACAAGATTTAAATCAAATACATCTTGAGCTTGTATTCAGATTAATTTATATGCAAGTTGCTTTCACTTCGTATTGTTTTGATTCAAATTTTTTTGGATTCGAATTTATAAATTTTTTAGTCAATTTAAATCGAATTAAAATTTGATTTCAAACTATTCAGATGATTTTTTGTGCTTGATAAAAAATTTCCACTCTATCTTTTGTGCAATAATCCCATAACTCATAATTTTGAATCCAAATTATTGGTTATTGAATTATTTTGGAAGGACTTCGGAAGATTTAAACCCAAATTTAAATTCTAAATTTGACACAAGGTAAATTAAAGTCATGCTTGTTTCTTTTAGTTTTTTTTTTTTTTTTACCTTTATATATTTGGTTTGGAGCCGTTCATATTGCATGAAGTGAGCTTCTGGATATGTATGTATGTATGTATGTATGTATGTATGTAGACACTCCATTTAGTCTAAGGTTTTAAATTAGTTTGGACTAGGTTCTGTTTTAAGCCTAAAAGTTCAATTTTCCTTTTTTTTTTTATCTATTCTATTTTATTTCACACTTATCTACTTTTTTTTATATATTCTTTTTATTTATTTTATATTTATCTTTATTTTTATTTTCATATTATATTTATCTTTATTTTATCCTTATTGATTAGTTATTTATTTATTTTTATATTTTTATCTATTTTATTTATTTTGATTTTGATTATTTTTAGAGTGAAATAAAATGAAAATAAAAAAAAGGATTTCTCCCTTATTTTTACTTTGTTTTTTTTTCTTTTTTAGATTATTTTTACAATTTTTTCATATATTCTATTGATCATCTTTTTATTTGGTTTTGCTATTATCCTTTTAAAATTAGAAGAGTGGATTCGACAAGGAAACTAAGATTAAAAACAAGTTTTTGGGATAATTAAGGATAAATTTGTTAGCCTTGAATTGACAAAGTGTTTTGAATAACAAAACAAAAATTTGCTAAAATCAAATTAAATTGATTTGAACTTAATTTGAATACTTTTCTAGCTTTTTATCTAGTCAAAAACGTTTTTGAACAAAAAAAATTCATCTCCTATGGTTTAAAAAACAAAATTAACCAAAATTGCATGGAAAAGATCGATCCCCTTAAGGACCTAATAGATCCCCTCCTTAAAAAGATCAATCACTTTTTTGGCCAATAAGCTTTTTGGTGGGAATTTCATGAAAACTAATCGATCTCTTCCCTATACAGATCGATTGGCACAAGGGTTTCAAAAAACAAGATCGATCCTTTCTCTTAGGGATTGATTAATATTTTAAGCAGAATGAAAATTGGTTTGAAAAACACAAAAAATGATTAATTACTCAAACTAGGGAATCAATCACTTGCATATAGGATCAATTGGGTATTGTTACCTGATCAATCAGGCTGTATTTTCATGCCTAAAGTTTTAGCTTTCAAAGCCAAAATCAATCGATCCCATCCATAGAAGGGATGGATTGATTTGGCCTTGACAAGTTTAAACAGTCATATTTTCTTGTTGCTTTGCAAATGCTCCATGCATTAAATAAAACCAATGGCTCTCGTCCATTTTTTGCATATAAAAAGAGGTCTTCCACCATATTACAAGCTATCAAGAGCCAATAAAACTTATTGCTTTCATCCACCATCTTCTCCAAGCATTAAATGGAATTTTGTTGTGAGAAAGGGCAAAATATTCAATCTTGTATTTATTTCTCTTTTGATATCCTTTATAACTTTGATTTGTACTTCAAATTTGCAAACACCCAACCTTAGAGAGGTTTTTGAGTTTGCAAAATCACTTCAAAACTTGTGTTATGAGGTTGTGAGCTTAAGAGGGAGGATAACCCTTAAGAGATTGTGTTGTTGATTGTATAAAGCTTTGAAGAGCTAGGTTGTAATGTTCAACATACAATAGATTGGATTTTTTAGCAAGTGAGACTAAGGGAGAAGATCTAGGTGCCTTGAGAAAGGATCAAACCTTTATAAATATCGGTGTTTGATTCTCTAACTCTACCTCTTTACATTTCAAGTTGTTTATATTGTGTTGATTAGTTTAGAAATTGATATTTGTGATTATTGTGTTAATTGGGGTTCAAATTGTTAAAATTTATAATTAACCAATTCACCCCTCTTGGTTTAATTTAAGTCTTTAAGCTAACAATTGGTATCAGAGCTAGTACACTATTTTTGTAGGTCTAAACAACCTAAAAGTGATCCTAAATGGCTAAAAAAAAGGTATTGTGATGAATGAAAAGCAACCATCCACATGCTACAAGAATTATGGAAAACAACAAGAATTGTGTCTTATGGCAAATGAAATGATTACAACTTCTCTTAGTGGTGAAAGTAATTCTATTATAAGGCCTCCTCTTTTTGTTGGTGGTAACTACTCATATTAGAAGACTAAGATGAGATTGTTCATTTAAGTTAATGACTATAAAGTATAAAGAGTTATTGTCAATGGTCCTCAAATTTCAATAAAGAAGGTGGATGACAGAGATGTGATCTATTAAAAAAGTGAATGGGATGCTAATAATATGAAGATCCCAATGCCAAGGTAATGCACACACTTTTGTATGTATTAGGGTCTAGTGAGTATAATAGAGTTTTCTTGTGTGAAAATACGAAAAAATTTTGGATAAGTTAGCCATTACCCATGAAGGCATAAATCAAGTTAAGGAGACCAAAATTAGGATGCTCACTTATGATTATGAGCTCTTTAAAATGAAATCAGAGGAATCTATTAGTAAGATATTCAATCGCTTTAACGACATTATCAATAGTTTGAAGGCTTTTGGAAAGACATATTTCAATGTAAAAATGGTAAAGAAGATCTTGAATAGTCTACCAAAGAGTTAGGTGGCAAAGGTTACGGTAATTGAAGAATCCAAAGATCTTCATACACTTTCTTTGGATGAATTCATGAGTTCTCTCCTTACTTTTAAGATGAAGCTTAAACAGGGACAAGAACCAATAAAAAAAATTGGAATTGCTCTTAAACCAACCATTCAAGAAGAAGAAAAGGAAAGAAATGAAGAAGATGAAAATGAAGAGTTTGAAAAGGTTATGCTTGTAAAGAGATTCAAGAAGTCCATGAAAATGAACATAAAAGAAAGTGATTAAGGAAGAATCAAGTATAAGAGAAAAGGACCAAGTTGTTTGCTATAAATGCAATAACTAGGTCATATCAAATTTGATTGTCCTTTATGAAAAATCCAAAACGCAATGAAGCCAAAAAAGAAAGCAATGATTGCAATATAAAGTGATAGTGACTTTTTCAATGATGAATCAAATGAGAAAAAAGTAGCCAACCTATATCTCATGAATTTGATGAGCCTAAGGTAAATTTTAACTCAAATGATTTAACTTTTTATGTATTTGATGAGTTACAAGATAACTTTGATGAATTAGTTGTAGAATATGAAAGCATGAACATGAGGCATAGAAAAATAATTTCTAAGTTAAAAGTAGAGAATGAACTGCTAACTAAGGCTAAAAATCAATTAGAAAAGAAAATTGACGCTTTAACATTGAATGTTGATGATTTGATTAAGAATAATGTAAATTTACCTAATTTATTTTCTAGATTTTATATGACACACCAAAAACTCAATGACATATTTGAAACACAAAAAGCTTTCTTTGATCAAGATGGATTAGGTTACAATGGTGATAAAACATGACAAGCTCATAAAATTATAAAACAAAAATATTACTATGAAAACATTATACTTTTAACAATAACATGATTTACAATTAACCTTTTGAATTACTAATTACACAATATATCAATGAATTATGGGAATTTTTTATTTTTTAATAATTTGAAATTGAAATAAAAAAGAGTATGAATAAATCAACCATATTTAAACATTTTATCAAAACAAAAAAAAAAAACTAAATATTTTTTTTAAATGAAGATGAAATTTTGAGACTAGGAGTTTTGTGTTTTCTATCATTTTTGTAAATTAGTTTCAGTATATATATATATATATATATATATATATATATTCTTTTATTTTTACTTTTTATATATGTTGGAAAAAAATTTCAACAACATGATAGAGATTAAAGTAAAAATAAAAGAATATATATATATATATATATATATGAAGAGAAGTAGTTGTAGTAACCTAAATCTCCTTTTCCTTTCCTTAAATCTCTTTAACTTTGACCATGTACTAAAAAAAAGGAAAAACACATTTGGTACTTGGTTGAAAATTTAAATCTTGTTGAGAAAGTTGAAAAATTAATTTAACTTTTGTTAAATTCATTTTGATTGTAATTTAAAAATTGTGATAAAACTCTTAATTTTAAGAATTTACAAATAATAATTGTTGGATATAATAAATAAACATATATCAATGTGTTTGAACATCTTTTAAATTACAATGCACAAAATTAATTTATAGAACACAAAACTAATAAAATTAACACTTTTAGTTTATAAGATTAATTAAATGTATTTAATATAAATAAATATACATGCTAATAAGGGTTTAAAAATTTTTGGAAGGGGCAAGGCCCTTTAGGTCGTTATTATCAACTGCCCCTGAGCAAGGAGTGAGCACAAGTGATGGCTTCGGACAAACAATCACCGTCGCCAGTGGTGAAGCAAGGAACCAAGGAATAACTGATGCTAGGTCTGTGTCTTGCTATCTTGGGAGAGTGAGAGAGGGAAAGAGAAACATATGAGATTGATTTAGGAGTGTTTAGGTTAGCTTTAGGTGTATGTGTATAAAAAGGTGAAATCATAGTTTCATAAGTAAAATAATAAAAATATATTAAAATAAAAAAAGTTTGATTAGGCTCATGAGCCATTCAAGCTGAGTATTAAGATACTTGAATTCGGTTCGTTCGATAAGTCTAGTTGCTCGAGCTCAAGTTCAATTCGATAATGATTAAGCCAAATTCATTTTTTTTTTAATTGAACTTGAATAAGTTATGAACAAATATTTTTTTTTGAATCATTTACACCCTTACTCCTTTTTCTTTTTTATAGATCTTCATTATTCTTTGCTCTCATTCCACTCATTGTGCCTTGATTATCACTTTAATCTTTATTCGATCAATAAACTTCAATATTACAAAATACAATACCTTTGCCTTTATTGGATAGTACGTACGCAATCATTTTCTCTTTCGTTAAATACTTTATTCTAATAATCTTTATTCTATGAATTACCTTGACGATTAGGTTATATCATATACTCTCTACTTGTATAGTTTTTCTTGGATCATATGAATCATGTTGAAAGAATAATATTTGTTTTTAACGTGTAACAATAACATTTACTAAAATAATTTAGTTTAATTCATATAATATTTAAAACAAAGATCTTTAGGATACTTTAAGATTAAATGGTACCATCTTTTGGATGAGCGTGTGGGGCAATAACCTTCCTTATACGTAATCAAACTTTCGAACCTTGTTTTGAAGTGCAAACCAAAATTTATTCTTTTAAAGATTCTTAGTCAAGCTTAGGACATCCTTAAAGGGGTAGATTCATTAGGTTGCCAATCATACTTAACAAAAATATTGGTGATGACTCCCTAAAATCCATATCTAACTATAGGTCTACGGATCTATATATTATGACACTCTCTATTTGTATAGTTTCCTTAGATCATGTGAATCATGTTGAAAGAATAGTATTTGTTTTTAACATGTAACAAAATATTACTAAAAAATTTAAAGTTTAATTTAGATAATTTGTACAGACACTTTTAAAAAATAGCATCTAGTAAGTTTCACTACCAAAAAATTGATTTTTACCTACAAAATTTTCCTTCAATAATAGCATGTTTTCTGTTAGTAATAGTATTATTGATGAAATTTTTCATCAATAATAAATAAGTTGGTAATACTATTCCATCGATAATGTGTAAAATCCATAAATAATTATCAATGGAATTATCCGTTGGTAAATTTCGTTGGTAATAATTTTGTTGATAATTAGGTAATAATCCGTCGATAAAATCTATTGGTAATATTTATTTTTCAACTATATTTAATATATTTTATTTATAATTTTTTTCATTTTATTTTAGTTTTTTAATTTATTTTTAAAGTAATTACATGAATACTAAATATATATAAATAGAAAAAAATAAATAAACAAAATACTCCATTTTATTTATAAAAGAATTTACAATATTTTATAAAATTGTTTATGAATTCTATTAAATAAAAATACAAAAAATACATATATATTACAAATTCTATACAAATAGTTGGTAATATACGTAAGTCATATAAATAAATACTTTTCAATATACAATAATAAAAATACCTACAAAATAAATAAAAAAAAAGTTAAATTATAAAGAAAATTAGGAACTTGTTAGTGAAATAATGAGAAAAGGAAAAGAATTGCAGAGAATATGGCTAAAAATCAACGACCAGTGGAGAGAACATCACTGCGAAAACTGGTCCTTTATTACTGATACACCATGTTTGTAGGTAGTAGACTAATGCTGAGAGCACAACTCCCTGTAACAAATACCATTATGAGCAAATCATTCAGGAGAATCAACTATGCAAGCTACTAGCCTTGTCACATTCAATTTCTCTTTTCTTTTTTTAAGTAAACATGAGCTATCCATTAAACAAATAAATGAAAAAACACAGAATGTGCAATAAAAACACATCCAGAAATGCAACTAATAAGCTCTGAAATATAACAAGGAAAATCTTATGATTTATGAGACAAGATTATATTGCCTACAGGGGATACAAAGATTTCAATAGCAACACTTTAGAATTGAAAAAAAAAATTTCGAAAGATTATATATATGAGTTTAAAAAGAGGTTGTACTCTCTTGTATGAGTATAAGAACCATTAAATGCGTGAGAGTAACTATAGTATCAATACCGCTTGTAAGAATATGGCTTTTGCAAATTTTCACTCGAAATAAATTGCCACACAATTTTCCTCATCAAGCAAAGATTACAGAACCACCACAACTGAAGTTGCCAAAGACCAATAAAAATGGTCGGCCATCTGATGTGATCTGATCCTCTAAATTGCCTTAATACAAAGGCTACAATGTTTCCAAGTTACATGACAATTTTCTCTGAAAATAAGAACAAAGAAACCTATATGATCCCAGTAGTAAATTCTTGTCCCATGAAAACTAAATTTAATGTTTACTGCATCAAATTAAGGCCAATAAAAATCCTCAATCAAAGATTATCAATTCCTAATAGTTAACAGCATTTTCAAAGGGGGCCTAACAAAAGTGTGGCAATCATGTGACGGTATCCCTTTCCAATCATTGTGCTTTACCACTTTAATCTTTATTCGATCAATTAACTTCATCATTACAAAATAGATACCTTTGCATTTAGGTTATACCATTGCATTTTAGTCTAGCTAGCTATGTCCTCAATTTGGGAACCAACTTTTAAAAGGTTGCTCAAATGACTTAACTTTTGATAAACTGTAACAATTAAGGTTCTAACTGTAACAAAACTGTAATGCCGAATCAGATAATGATGTATCCTACTTGGCATCGTAATTGGCAATATTAATAGCCATCTTTGCACTGTTAGTTAATTTAACGGCGTGTGTAACTTACGCTTCAAAATCTGTTAAAAAAAATTCTGAACTGCGAGATTCCTCCTTTTTTTAAATCATTCTACAGCCAAAGTTTCATGCTTTTCCCGCCCATGAACTGAACACATGTATCAAACATAAGCTTTAAATGTAAACAGTGGGTGCCAAGATTGATAGTGCCTTAAACTCTCCCTATAAATTTTATGCAAGAAGAGCATGAACTAAATACATGACCCCGACCAAGATGAAGTCCCAAGTTTTTACCAGGAAAATGCCACAAATAGAAAGAAAAGAAGAGGACGAGCGGAACATAACAAGGACAAAGTTTTTAAGTTTCTCCTCGGGTTTTGAAAGGCACTAGCTTTCTGAAAAAGAAGAAACCTTTTTTATTATACCAGTCAAGGAGCGCCCACTACAACATGAACCCGAGCCCCTGTGCTGTAAAAAAGGAAATCACCATTGGAGATGTTGACAACAAACAGAGCTTTTGCTTTTCACGTAAGAACAAATGTGGAAGGAGAGAACCATGTGGTTTTTTTTTTCAATCAAAACCAAAACGAAACTCCATCTCATTCCCAGCTTATCTTTTTTAATGACCCACTCAAGAAAGTTAACGACTTTCAAAGTTTCACTTAAAGAAAAGAAAACCAGCTTTTAAACTTACCCAAGAACCATTTATTTTAGTTACAGCCTCCCTTTTTTTTTTTTTTGATGGAACCGAATCCTCAATCATGTTTGTGAACTTTTTTTTTTTATGTTTTATTAAAAAAAAAAAAAAAACTTAGAAAGGAGAACGTTCCTATATGTATAGGATATAATAACCATTTATGTCTTGAACTTCACGTGAAGAAACACATAGAAAATATGGAATGACATTATGCATGTGAAATGCTTGAGATGGGATCAAAGAAATCACCTTTTTGGTTCTGAAGTTTATTTTGCTTCTTTTTCGCTGTACAGCCTTTCCTCGTTCTCTCTTTTTAGGGTTCTCCTTTTATAATTTTCCTTCACTTTTGTGTTTCCGTAAACTTTTTCTTTCCTCATTTTTTTTTACCCTTTTTTTTCTTTCCTTTCCAGCCTCCGTTTCCTTTTTCTCCTCCTTCTCATTTTAAAACCAGCCACCCTTCCACGTTCTTTTTCTCTTCCTTCCCCTCTTTTTGCAAAGAAGAAAGCCCCTCAAAATATCTTTGAAAGATTGAATATAAGCCCTTGGATCAAATCTCAATCAAGAGTCAATTTTTTTTTTCAAAAATTAATCTTTAGCCATTAGATCAAGATTCAATATAAAATTTACTAGTCCACATTATTTACTGCAAATATTAAATTTTTATAGCCTTTAAACTACATAAAAATATTATTTTACCTTTAGTACAAAGTTTCAGTATTTGAGCCATTTTTTTATAAATAAATATTCCCATACTCATTTTGAGATTTTAAAGTACTACAAATTATGAAATATTATAAAATTGAGATCTAAAAATTTTTATGAAAATCTGAGCTTGAAAAAGTCAAATTATAAAAATATCTCTAAAATGTATTTTCGTATTTTCACACCTCTCAATGTATTACTTGTGATTTTGAATGTACAAAAAATTATCAAATATTATGAAATTAAGATATGAAAAATTTTATGAAAATTGACAGTGAGAACATTAAATTATCAAAATACTCCTAAAAGTCATTTTGGTAATTTTGTACTTTCTCAAATGCAATAAAAAATTTTTATTGCTTTAAAAAAATAATTAATTTTAACTTTAAATCACGTTGATTTTAATTAGGTTATGAATTTTGAAGATTGAATTCGTTTCTATTCATTTTGACCAAATTGTACAATTTTAACTTTATTTGACTAATTTTAACACTATTAACTAAATTTGACCAAATTTGACTAGAATTGATTTTGGAGTTTACTTGCTTAATTTATTCTTTATTTCTTATGTATCCACATGAAAAATATCATCCATATAAATTTTATGCAAAAAAGTTTGACAATATTCATACGAGTCTCTTTTTCTCTTGTTTATTACATATTTAAATATCGATGTATTTTATAAACTCTTAAAAAGACTTTTTTACGGGCTTTAAATAGACTTTGTTTGGATTTCTAAATGAGCTAAGTCGTTAGCTGGGCTCTTTATGAGTTGTAAATGAGCCTAAGTCAATCATATTAAAAGTTTTTCAAAAAAAATTCGGTGTCTGTAAACTCCAAATTAAGACCTCGATATAAATGGCCTGTGGAATTACATACTAAAAGCTTTAGCAACAGTGGGTGTTCAAAATTTGAAAGAGAATATGAAAAGAGTTCAAAGAAAACAAGATGGACGGACTGTTATATAAAGGACGGATATAGAGTGGATGAGAAAAAAAATAAACAGTATATTTATTGGCAAAAATGAAAGCGTCATGAAACATTAATAGCTTAGAAACTAAGGGGCAGAAAGGAACTTGTAACTTGTTTTAGCTTGAGCAATAACCGCATCGAATCCTTGAATTAATGCCCCTTTATTTCATTGATTCATATATAGCAATAGAAATGAAGCAGTCGGCATTTTACATTTTAATTAATTTTGTGGCAGTAGCAGGCTTGTAGTTAGGGGTAACTATGGTATCCTTCATACGAGAAAGAAGCGAAAAATGGCATAAGCAATGAACAAACCGGGAACGAAGGTGAGGCCAAGGGAACATGTGGCGATAGCAAACCCCATGGAAGATTGTAACACTGCGTAACTGCCTGTGCTGAAAGCAATCACCATTGCTATCGTCGCAGAAAAAGTTAAGACATCTGCCAGACGAATCACCTGAAATCGGAGATTAACTAGACTCCACTTCAGGAATACCAAGCGAAAATGAAGCAGGACCGCTAAAAGAGAGGAAACAAATGCAAGGGTATCTGTAATAATGAAGGCTTTAAAAGCTGGGTCACGACTCAAGGTTGCATCCCCTTGCTCATCACTCTTGTATCCACCAGGTACGGTGAATGCTGCGGCGAATGTTACGGTTGCTACTAGCGCTGCCACCAGTAAATGGGTCTCTCGTGTTTTTTCCACAACTTCGATGAAGGAGACATCATCCTCGTCCTTTACCCTTTTTCTGAAGTTTGGGTGAACCCGTAACCCTTCCACTTCTGCATTATCACCAATGTCATTCAACAATTGGCGAATGTGTTTCTGCAACGATAATCGTCGATTTAAGGAATGATTAGCATTTATTAGTCTATGAGAAAAATTCACGGGTACTTCACAATTTTTATAAATATATCATTTTCATTCATGACACAAAAGATATATATCCTTTTTTTTTAAAAAAAAATTGACTATCCATCGTTTCGTCAATCAACATTTAGAAAATTAAAAAAATGTTCATGCAAACATTGTGATATAAATACAAACACGTGACGGGATCCACACGTGGGCCACATGCATGTTTTAAATTTATTAAGCGAGATTTATCTCACTCACGCCAACTTCACAAGTCATTGAAACATGTCATATCTATGCACCGGGTAAAGATTTAGATGAAATTTTGTACGTAAAATTCATGAAAATTTCAATTAAAATCAATTAAATAAGATTAAAAATTAAAAATTAAAATGTTTTATTACGTAAATCAAACATGTAAAATTTTAAAAAAATTTTAATAAATTTTGATATATACTTTTAAATAAACATTTTTAGTAAAAATATTGATATTGTTGAATATATATGGATCATATTTGAATTATAAATAATTTTTTAATAATTTTTTTACATATTATTGATATTCACATTAAACTTTATCAATTTATTGGTTTGAATTTTCTATTAAATTATTAAAAAAAAAACTTTACAAACTTCACCTAAAAATTTATATATTTTTCTCCTAGGGGGTAGACAAGTGATACTTGTATACATATTGATTGATTGTTGACTAACAAAAGATAAATCATAAACTTTTCTAAAAATTATTCATGGAAAACTTTTTTTTTTTTGGTCATGCATCAAAGTGTATATATATATATATATCATAGAAGTTCATGAACTACTAGTGAATTTTACTTATCCATATATTGGTGATTCAGTTTTTAAACTAGATAAACAAAGTTAAAAGCCTTTGTTGTAACATTTTCTCATTTTTTAACTTTATTTCTACGCAATCTTTTTATTAAATTATACATTTCATTATCTGCTAGTATAATAGTTGTCTCTAATGTGACATCCCAATAATTAAAATTTAAGACTTTAGTTTAAATGTTTTGAATTAGGATTTTGAGATGGGCAGAGTGAGATTTATGATATGAGATAGTCACTTTTTATTAGGATAATAAAGTTTATATCGAATTTAATTTAATTTTTTTAAATAATATATAATATTATGAATTTTTAAAGTTTGATTTAAATTCTAACCAACTTTTCTTTAAATCGATACAATTACAACCAATAAGAAAAAATCGATTCCATCTGAACCAAACGTTATGATTTCAAATTAATTTTTAATTTTTTTGGTTTTCTCTCATCCTTACCTTTCATTTTGTATTCCATTTTTTTGCAATGATTTCTTTTTTGTATTTCATATCCTAATTTTGATTATTTATTATTATTTAAATTATTTATTTATTACAATGATTGAATTGATAAATATTTTCTTTAATTCTTCTGTCTATGAAAATAAAATAAATGAAAAAAAATCAAGAAAAATTATTACTATATTTTAAATTAATATATTTTTCTCTCATTTTGTTTTGCATTAATTTCTTCTTTATATTTCATTTCCTAATTCTGAGTATTTATTATTTAAATTACTTATTTATTATTATTGTTTTTTTACTATGGAATTTATTATTATGGTGGAATTGATTCTAAAAAAATTATTGAAATAATAAGTTTATAATCTTTCTTCTATACAAGAAAATTAAACTAAATGAAAAGAAAATCTTTAAAAGTTAGATTAGCCTAATTTAATTTTCTTTAATTTTTTTTGTAATTTTTATGAAGCAGTTTATCCCTAAAAAAATAAAAAAAAAGAGAAAACATAAAATAAAAATATTTACAAAAAATAGATAAATGAAAAGAAATAAAAAAATGAAAATGAAATTGGAAAAAATCTCATGGGATCCTTTCAATATATTGTATAGATTTGTAAATGAAACAATAAATTAGGAATTTATTAAAGGAGACACATGCATGTTATTGTTAATTATCTAAACTCTGCATATAGTAGTTAGAGTTTAATATTTTCCTATCAGTAATTAAAAACTTTGCTTATAGAAGTCCACTTTTAAAGACTAATAAAATGTAAAATTATGTACTTAATAAAATACTCATCTAATCTCAATTTTTCATCCATCTTTTCTTTTTTAAACCCCAAAAAAGCCAAAATCATTTTATAGAGTAAATAGTAATCGTTATCCTTAAAATTCGATTCCTTTATTTTCAAAAGTCACTTTTCAATCCTCATATTTGTAAAGCGATGACGCCTTGGTTCTTTTATCGGTCTTAAATCATTTTAGATGTTAAATATCTATTGGCATCATGTGTCTTACACTTGACATCAGTTAGTATGTACGAAATTGATGACTTGAAATTTTTTAGAAAAGAAAAGGTAAATATTAAGTACATCAAAATCAATAATTTTTTCTGAAATTGAAAAAAAAAAAAAAAAACTTAAACAATTTTGAAAAGGAGAGAATAGTAAAAATCAAGCAGGGTAAAGCTTTATACCTTCTTTCGTGTCATTTGGTCGAAAATTGCCGGGACTTCCATCCTCTTACTTGAAGTTCACGATCTAGAAGAAAAGAATTAAGAGAAAACCAACCAAGGCGCTGACGAGCAGGCCCCGTTAAGTAGATATGGAGAGGCGTGTACCCATTAACATTCTTTTCATGAAAAAGATTTCTATTTGTGAAATCATTAATCTTGTTATCAACTAAGAATCTCTTAAGTTTTTTGGGAGATACTGCAACGACAGCAAAGTGAAGAAAATTCCAGCCTCTTTTGTCCACCATTTCGCAGCAACCTGGACAATTGGAGATAATTTCTTCCATTATCCCTTGCTCGCCTTGCCAAGCTGCCATATGAAGAGCCGACATCCCTCTCTCTTTATCACTTATATAAGCAGCAGACGCATCTTCTTCCAACAAAACTTTGGCAATTGAACGTTTACCGAAATGCGCAGCATAGTGGAGTGGAGTCCGCCCATTGTCATCTGTTTGTTTGGTTAGTTGCATTTTTGCCTCTATTAGTTTCCTTACTGTCTCTGTCATTACCAAAACACAACAAAAAGATCAAAAAGTTCAACAACAGCAGTACATGTGAATTTATTTAATTTTGAAAAATGAATGACCAAGACTATGCATTTGTTTTGTTTTATTTTCCTTATTTGGCCAGGGGAGAAACAGAACATGCGTTCTCATTGGCAGAAAAAGCAACGAGAATAGCCATTGAGTAAATTATCCCAAAACAACAACAATAACACAAAATAATGAACTGATCACTTACTTTCATCTCCGGCCAGGACTGCTGCATGCAAAGCTGTTCTACCATTGGGGCCACCATAAACCGTTGATTTGCAATTATCTAACATCTCAGTAACCATACCGTGATATCCTCCCTCGGCAGCTAAGTAGAGTGGAGTCTCGCCGCTTGTATTAGCGGAGAAATCAAAATCAGGATCTTCTTTGACCAATAGTCGCAACACATCAAGATGGCCATATCGAGCGGCCAAATGGAAAGCAGTATTTTCTTCCTCATCCCTCATTCTCAGCATCTGCCTCGCCCCGGTTGCATCCAACCCTCTCTCCGGGTCTTCATGTAGCACTACATTGGCGCGTTCAATAAGGACTTTGACTATGCCAGAATGCCCATGTCTTGCTGCAATGTGCAATGGGATTTCCCAGTTGGCATTGCGTTGCAGTAGCAGTGATGGGCACTTGTTGACAAGTTGCTCCACAAAGTTAATGGAGAATTCTCTTTCGAATACCCTTTTCTGAAAACACGGAAACGCTCTAACATTTTTGACTACCAGGCGTCCTCCGGTTCTGGAGTAAATATGAAGCACCGTGTTTTGGCTTCCGTCAACCAGGCAATCAAGAGCAACTTGGCAGTCACTAAATGCTTCCACGTCACCATCCGCCGCAGCTTTGAACAAAACAAGGTCCATGTAGGTGATAGCCTTTTCTTCCATAGGCTGTTCAGAGGGAATGGATGAGCTAACTGAGGGATTCAGCTGCATCATTATAAGTTAAATAGGCTGTTCAACCATGAGGGATATCATATTATATTTTGGCAATTACAGTCAAGGTCGTCTTCTCTTGTCCGTAATAAATTTAAAACTCTCCCAAAAGTGAACAAAACAGTATAAAAGAAAAAAATTGCAACGAGACAAGTATTTGTCTTAACGTGTAAAATCAAGCAGAAGACTTTATTTAATGTGATAAGAGACAAGTATTTGCCTGAACGTGTAAAACCAAGCAGAAGACCTTATTTTCCAAAGAGAAAATGAAATTAAATGAGGCCTTTTTCTCAGGCCACTTGCAGTATGGAGAAGTTAGTGGGAGTGCCAACAAAAATAAGATCCGAAGGAACAATACAATTGATTAATTCAACGTCTTCATATTTAACAGCTTAATAATTTGTTAATAGGGAAAATAAATTATAGAAAAACATCCTAATCATGTTATTTGCTAAGGATTAGTAGCTGTGGAGAATTTTATTATTTATAGCTGCAACAATAATTGTCCTTCTCAATTCTGGAAGAATATATTAGTTGAAAAAAACAAGTAGAGGTGTCCACGGGGTGTCATATGGACTTCTCCATTAAGCTTAAAATATTAATTTCATAAACTAAGGTATTGTAGACATTTATCTGTGTTCGGAGTCTATCGAGTCGATTTTTATTATTGTAGTTATTTTTATTATCATTTTTTAGTTTAGTGTATCTAAAAAAATTTAATTTATATACATGCTCTAGGAATATCAAGACAATGAGAAAAAAATATTAAAATGATATAATCTATTTCTTAAGCATCCTAAAATACCTTTACTTATAGGATGTGTCTTGCCGTCTTAGAAATAATTATGGAATGATTTATAATTTTTGAATGACTAATTAATTAAAATGAATTTAAAAACCAAATCAAGATCAATAATACTATTTTAAATTGAGAGTAATTTATACTTGATGATTATAATAATCAAACATAATGTGTATTAACTTGTTTGGGAGAAATGAAAAAGAAAAGATTTTGAAATTAGTGTAATAATGGTAATGAAATCCATTTGATATTATATATACCAAAATTAATTTTAATTTTTTAATCATCTATTAATTATTTTAAAATAATATACATATATATTAAACATATATATATAACATAATTTAAATGGTTGAGTAAATTAATAGGTCATAGGTTAAAAAATTGACAACAAATTTTTTTTTTTTTACACAATGTAGTTTAAGAGTTGAATATTTACAATTGCAAAAGTGGTGACAAAATTATTCTATGATGATGGAACTTAAAATTTTATTATCTTTAATATGAATTTAATTGGAAGTGATTTAAGGTAAATAATAAAGTATAAATGTAATTAATTTATTAGAAGATACATGATAATTTTTTAAAATTGTTTACATGTCAATTATATTAGCCATCCACATTGAATAATTTTTATTTTTATCAAAAGTTTTGGCTTTTATATATTTATATAAGATTATATAAGATAATATCTATACATATGAAACGTGTGCATGCGTGCGTGCGTGTGTGTGTGTGTGTGTGTGTATATATATATATATATATATATATATATAGCATAACTTAAATGATAGAGTAAATAAATAGGTTATAGGTTAAAAAATTGGCAATTGAATTTTTTTTTTATACATATAATTTAAGAGTTGAATATTTATAATTGGAAAAGAAAGTGACAAAATTATTCTATGATGATTGCAATTAAAGTTTTATTGCCTTTAATATGAATTTAATTAAAAGTGAGTTAAGGTAAATAATAAAATATAAGTGTGATTTATTTATTAAAAGATATATGACAACTTTTTAAAATTGTTCACATGTCAATTATATAGGTTAGATAATTTCCTTTTTGGTCAAAGGTTTTGACTCTTATATATTTATATAAGATAGAAGATGTATGTTTGATTTAATTTTTTATTGAATTTATCTAATTAAATTTTAATTAATTAATTTAATTATTTAATAATATAATACTTGATTATCATTATAATTTTTTGTATATTTATAATTTCAAAATATAGCATAAATTTAAGAAAAAAAATTAATCCTTTCAGCGTTGAAATCGGGGAATTTAACAACTTCTTTGTCGGATCTGTTGATGTAATGAACCATAATCATTAAAATATATTTACTATAAAGTCTATATATCTACCGTATTTTAATGCAATGGTATTATTATATTATGGTAGGTACATGTCATTATCTCCGATATTGAAGTCTAGTCTATCATATTGAAGTCTATACATCTATCATATTTTAATGCAATGTTATTATCGTATTGTATATGTCGTTGTCTTCAATATATATCTATCGTGTTGAAGTCTATATATCTACCATATTTTAATGCATATGGTTTTATTAAAATAGGGTCGGTATATGTTCTCTTTAATATATATCTATCATATAAATATGGTAGTCTGATAGATATATATTGACTTAAGAACTACTATTATCATCTCATTTAATAATTGAAATTAAATCCGTCTATTTGTATATTTATGTATAAAATATAAAAATTATCATATTAAATTTATATTGACATAATAAATTCAAAACATTTTTTTTTAATTTTTATCTATCCACAATCAGCTTTCACTGAATTTTAAATCTATTGCTTTCATATATTTTTTTGTTCATATAATTTTTATGTCGTATTTAAAATTTTTAAGTCTAATTGAAATATATGAATTTGAAATATTTTTAAAAGGTTATTTTTTAAGGTTGCAAACATAAAATTTTGCTTTTATATTGATGTAAAGTTGTAGAAATCCGACTTAATTTATGAACATTGTTTACTTTGACTTAGTTTTATGGTTTTATTTCATAAAAATTATTTTACAAATAAATATATATATCATATAGTTAGTACAAAAAAATGAAAGATTAGTGATAGTTTTGTAGTAGCGTTTCATTTACAAATGCCGCTAACTTATGTGCTTTTATAGAACTTAAGGTGTTTATTATCAAAACGCTACTAAATATTTAAATAGCGGTATTGTTACTTACAAACGCCATTAAAAAAAAAAGTAGCGGTGTTTATTGACTAAAACGCTTTGAATAATCCTTTCTAAAAAATTGGAGTGATTATTGAAGGCATTTTTTTTGCAAAAATGCCTTGAATAATCCCCTTATAAAAAATGGATAAAGAATTATTGAAGGCGTTTTCTACAAAAAAACACTTTCAATAATTCCCCTAAAAAATTGTAAAGGATTATTGAAGGTATTCTTTTTATCAAAAACGTCTTCAATAAATCTCCTTGTCAATAAATCTACAAAAAATGGAGTAGTATTATCGGTTGGAGTATATGGTCATTAATCATAAGGTTGTAAGTTTGATCCCTCCCTTCAGCATTTTTTGGATTTTTTACACCTTCAATAACTGCCCCCAATTTTTTAAGGAATTATTGAAGGCGTTTCTGGCAATAATCCTTCAAAAAACCTAAAAAATGCTGAAGAGAGGAATCAAACCTACAATTTTATGATTAATGACCGTATGCTCTAACTAACAATGCTACTCTATTTTGGACAGATTCATTGACAAGAAGATTTATTGAAGGTGTTTTTGATCAAAAATGCTTTCAATAGTCCTCTACAATTTTTTAGAGAAATTCTCAAAGGCGTTTCTGGTAGAAAACGCCAACAATAATCTCTTTTATTTTTTATGAGCAGATTATTCAAGGTATTTTTTACCTGAAACGCCTTTAATAATCCCTTATAAAAAATTGGAGGAGATTATTGAATGCGTTTTTTTTGCATGAAACACTTTTAATAATCCCCTCACAAAAAATGAAGAGGATTATTGAAGGTATTTTTTTTTACAAAAAATGCCTTCGATAATCCCCTCAAAAAAATTGTAGGGAAATTATTGAAAGCATTTTTAGCCAAAAATGTCATCAATAATCTCCTCTAAAAAATTGGAAGGGATTATTAAAGGCATTTTTGATCTAAAATGGCTTCAATAATCTCCTTATCAAAATTCAAGAAGATTATTGAAGGCGTTTTTTACCTGAAAATGCCTTTAATAATCCCCTCTAAAATATTTAAGGGGATTATTGAAGGCGTTTTTGCTCCTTATCAAAATTTAAGAGGATTATTGAAAGCATTTTCTTGCCTATATGATATTTGTTGATACTTGTTGGCACTTTTTTGAACCTTATTTGAGCCATATTTTATGACTAATCAGCTGTCTTATAAGAAGTTTATGCTTTCCATATATCTTTGCTGGTGTAACTTAAAGCACAAACTGATATTTTACCTTTCATTTTTCTTGTTAGAACCTGATCTGCTATCATTTTCATTTTCACTCCAACCAAACAGCTTTTAATTTTCAGTTTTCTTAATTGAATCTTGTTACAATTTTAGGTTTCTACACTCTTTTTGAATGTTCTTTAAGGTTTTCATAACAAAATTTACAAATTCTCATGATTTTCTTTTCAAATTCTGTAAAATTCAGGTTGAACTCAAATATGGTTTCAAAACTGCACACCTAACCTATCTTTAGTCTTTTGATAAAAAATCAGTGAATTCTAGCTTGATTTACTTCAAAATTTTTTTCCTAGATTCCTAGTTCAAAAGGCTATAATCTAGTAAAAAGTCACCCTCAAATTCCATTTGTACAAGTATAGTTAATTCTTCAAATTTAAGGTTGAATCTAGAAGGCAGAATGATCCATGCATGAGAACTTGATGAATGATGATCCTCTCTCCTTCTAGGTGTTCGATTTGATTCTTTCATACTTTACATTCTTACTTTTACATGTTTACTCGTTATTTTTTCATTGATTGCATTTATTTTCATGAATTCATTTGGTGTTTGGATAGATTTAGTTGTTAATGCTATGTTTTTCTCTGTTTTGAGTATCACTTGAATTGCTAGTTCATTAAGCTGGTTTTTCTTTATTTTGCTGCCATTTTCTTGTTGAATTTTGTAGCAAACTTGATAGATGAATTGTTTCTTAGCTCATTTCCAGTTCATTTTCATTATAAGCTTCTAGACCTAATTTTTTCTTTCATCAACTCAGTGAGTTTCGATTGAATTTCACTTTATATTTTAGTTGTTTCTAGTTAATTATTGTATTTTCTTGCACTTTTTGTTCTTCAAATTAGTTTTCCTTTTGGTTGCTTAATTGATCTTTTCAATTCCAGTTTATGATCACTTGCTTTAGCATCAATTAGATGTAGATCAATTAATTCACATTTGGTTACAAGTTAGTTGTTAGTTGCAATTTTGTGTTCTTTTATTACATTGTGCCATTTTTCTGCAACTTTTGCTTTTCAAATTGATTTCTCATGATTTTTTTTGTAGATCTTTGAAATTCCAGCTTGTTTTGAAGAAAATTTAAAGGAACAAAAATGAAAATTCAGATTTAATAGACTAGTTTTGAGATGTATTCTATTTCAATTATATGTGTGTGTCTAGGGTTGGAGTTGGATTTTTTTGAACCAATTGCTTTAAAGTTTGGGCTACTACACTTGTAATGTTGATAACTTATCTGTAGAAGAATTTCCTTTATTTAATGTATCCTAAAGTTGATATGTGTTAAGAAACTCTTACTTATTTATTTGAATGAATATCTAAATGTGGCCAAAGGGTTATTTTATCCCAAAAGTCAAGGAATTTGGGCTTTTTCCATAAATTGGTATGATTGAAGAAGGTTAAAAAAGGATGTTTTGGCTTCAAGCTTTTAATATCGAAACAAGAAATTAAGTTAATTATTTTAGTATGACCCATTATAAAAAATTTAGTTTTAAGGTTCAATCTAATTATTTTGTCGCACCTATAAATCACACTCATCTTGCTATTAACTATTGAGTTTGGGAGTTATATGCAACATGCCCTTTGTATTTATATCTCTTTCAATCAGAAACTTTTTTGTTGATGTCATCCCTTTAAATCTTATTCTTCTTCTACTTTTGTATCATAAAATAGCATGGCTAGCAATATTTTACATGTGTATGCCAATTGGATATGCATTCAGATGTGTTTATGATGGAATAGTAAGTTTTCTTTTCTAGCTTTTTTATAGATATTTATTAAACTGATCTCCTTAATTCCTTCCTAGTTTAAGAATAAAAGAACCATCCTTATTTCAAATATGCCAAGTTTTACTACTGTCCATATTTTATGATGCTCTATGCTCTGCTCATATGTTAATATGAGATAACTAGCTAAGAAGTTAGCAATCATTTAAATTGGCATTTTGCATTTTGGGTGGAAACCATTGTGATGCTTCGATTTGCTATTATGGATTTTATTATGAACCCTTTGCAGTTGAAAGGTGCATACTGTAGACCTATAAACTTGGATTGGTCTTCTATACTTTTTCCAATTACTTTATAATGATTCCATGATACAATTTTTGCTGCTGCTAAGTCTAAAAAAGCATTGATCTCTGTAGACACAGTTGTACCATCAGTTTAAGGTGTAGCATAGTTAATTTATCCATTACACAATTTGCATTTTCCTCTTGAAACTCTATTGTGTGGTCATTTTATTTTGAAGGATTGGTTTATTTCCCTCTTGAAGCATTTAAATCCATTTATTTCTATGAATTTATTTATGAGCTACAAATATGATTTGAAATGGTTTATCTTATAAACTTCATGGAATCAAATAATCTTTATCTTTTTCCAATGCAATCAAACATGAACTTGATTGAGGATCTATCTCTCAGCCTTTCGTATATTCTATTTCCCTTAAATTATATGGCTTTGTATTTCAAGTCTAGCAATTTCATAATGAAATATGCAAAATGGAAGAACTATGATTATGAAAGTCATTTTTGTGAAATGCACTAAGAAAGGGAGTGTACATCCTTTTGCCTTGTGCATTTATCTAGATCATTGGCCAAAAAATGTATCTTAGTTTGTTGCTTTGGTTAAATCTATTTCTTTGTTATTTTTGCATGTATGTAATAATGAGATATTGTATATCTTCCTTGATTTTATCTTGCATTACAAATTTTATGGTACTTTTTATAGCTTATCCAGTGACATTTTTCAATCAGGATAGAACATGAAGTTGTGGAAAAGATAAATGAAATGCACTATGATGCATTTCTAACAACACATTTTGAGGTTCCTGGACAAATGTTCTCTTTAGCAATGGAAGCCAATAGGAGAATAGGCATTGTAGGTTCCATTCAAAGCAAGTGTGACTCATTCCATAGAGTCCGTTAATGGGTAAGAGGAAAACAAATGCAAAGTGGAATGTTATTGTATGTATTAAACTTTGTGTTACATGTATATTGGAACAAATTATGTATTTAGATATTAAAATATTTATAATATTCAATTTATGAATTTAAATTCATTTTTATTTCTTTTAACAATTTTTATTTAGTTATAATAAATATTAAAAGAAAATTAAAAAAAGTAAAATTTTTTATTTAGTGACGTTTGTATTTAAAAATGTCACTAAATGCTGAATTTAGTAACATTTGTATAAGAAAACACTGTTAAATTTAGTGACGTTTTTACTACAAACGCCATTATTTTCAGCATTTTACGGTGCTTTTAAACATAAACGTCGCTAAATTAGCGACATTTTTTTATATAACCATCACCAAAGTAATGGCGTTTTTTTTTTTTTATATAAAAACACCAATAAATTAGTGGCATCTCAAAGATACAAATTAGTGGCATTTTCCAGAAAACATAACGTCATCATTTTTCACGATGCATAAATAGCCAGCACTCTGACTGGCATTTTTCACAAACGTCGTAAATATTTTAGTGGCGTTTATAAGCACTGCTAAATATTTAAAAAAATGCCACTAAAAACCTAAACCTTGTAGTGTGTATCTCCACACTTAATAAATATGGGATCGGGGCACACAATAGTGCAATTTAAACAAAGGTGATTGAAATGAGAGCAATGAATGAGGATATAAAAGGGAAAGAGGATTCCATGATTTGCTTTAGAAAAATTAATTGTGTGCTAGCACTTGCCTTGGCTTAGTCGAATAGGAGAGCCTTAATTAGCCAGCCAAATTATTTATCCAAAAAAAAATTAGCAGCCAAATTAATTGTAATGACGTAGTGGGATCCCCCAGTTAGCTCATTCATTCCCTTTCCCTCTGAACAAACTCAGCAAGCAGAGGCTATCACCTACATGGACAGTGATTTGTTCAAAGATGCAGAAAATGGTGACATGGAACTATTGTTAGTAAATTTAAGAAAAACAAAAATAGTAAGAAAGAAGAGAATATGGCTTTGAGGCGTGAATAACACTATCTTAAAGGCAATTATGCCTATAGGATACAACAAAGCCTTAAAACTCTCTAAATTAGAAGTAGTGAAATTGGTTAGGCAGAAAGATCTATTTATAATAAAATGAATAGTCATTAATCAAGCCAATTCAAAAAGTTATAATATTTTGTATAGTCATATTTTATTGTTTAAATAAACTTTATTTAAACAATCATATTTTTCACTGTTTAAACATATTTATTCAGAATTAATAATATTTCGAAATAAATAAAAAATAATAAAAATAAAAAGATTTAAAAATTAAATCTATTTGCCAAACAAACCCAAGTGCCCATCTTTGACTTTTTAAAATTGTCTGACCCACTAGGAAAACTCTCAACAAGCCCAAATGACGTAGCCCATTCCAACACTTAGTTCAATTACTTAAATAATATAAGTAATTTTTTTTAAACCATATATAAGTGATCTTTCTATTCAATGTGGATACACCACATTCTAAACTACCAACAACTATTTGAAAAGTATCAAGGTGATCTTCATTGCCTGGTTGATGGAAGGCAAAACACAGCGCTCCATATTCACTCCAGAACCGGAGGACGCCAGGTAGTCAAAAATGATAAACGGTTTCTGTGTTTTCGGAAAAGGAGATTTGAAAGAGATTTCTCCAGTAACTTTGTCAAGCAACTTATCGACAAGTGCCCATCACTGCTACTGCAACCCAATGCCAAAGGAGAAATTCCATTGCACGTAGCAGTTAGACATGGTCATTCTGATATAATCAAATTCCTTATTGAACGCGCCAAAGTATTGGAGCGTGAAGACCTGGAGAAAGCGTTGGAAGCAACCGGGAAGAAGCAGATGCTGGGAATGGCAGATAAGGAGGGAAATACTGCTTTGCATATGGCAGCTGAAAGTGCTAACCATGATGTGGTGCGACAACTGGTGGAGGAATTAGATCCTGACTTTTCATCCTCTGCTAATAAACGCGGTGAGACTCCAATCTACATAGCTGCCAAGGGAAGCAATCCTTCGGTGTCTGAGATATTGAATAATTGCAAATCAATGGAATGTGGCGGCCCTGATGGTAGAACTGCTTTGCATGCAGCAACCATGGTCAGGAAGGAAGGTGAGTAAGCTTATTATTTTGTGCGATCCACTGTTGTTTTGGGTTAATATAATTAAGACTATGATTGACACTTTTACTTTTTTTTTTTTAAATTGAATTAAAAATTAGAAATTTAAACATAATAGAAAACCAAAGATAAATATAAAAAAAAAAACCAAAACAAAAATATCTTTTGAACAAAATTTTTTAGTCTTTCACTCCTCATTTCACGTCATTAACCAAGTAATTAAACCACTTTTCCACTTGGCAAGGTAAGAAAAAAATAAATTCTTTTTTTATATATACATTAAAAAAAAAAGTTCTTATCTTGATGTGGATATGATAATGTGGCAAAGTTCTTGCCATGTCTTAGGAGCTCGGTTCGTGATCTTTTAACGACTAAAGCAGCAAACAATAATATTTATCTATAATATAAATCTGACATATTTTTGGGTGCAATGTGGCATCTCATGAGCTTTTTTATGTTTAATAATTAATTTTATTTTTAGTTTTTTTTTTTAATTTTGTATGGAATCTATTTGATATTTTTATTTTTTTGTTATTTTAAATTAGATATTTTTGTAAAAAATAACAATAGAGGTGTAGATAAGACATTCATTTTTTTTCTTTTTGTTAATTTATTATTAAATTTCATAAGAAAATGAGGTCAAATAGTAATGTCACCTAGTTGTCCACGTGGCAACACTATTCGGCTTTTTTTTGTTAAGTTTTTTAATTTTTAATTAAATAAATTTCGTGAGAAAATAAGTTAATATAGATAAAAATGACAAAATAATCCATTTTTATGGATTTTGACCCCTTCAGATCTAATAGGGGTGTTCTTTTTTTAAATTGATATTTGGTTGGGAGAGGATTTATTTTTTCAAAAATCGTGGATCGGAGGCAAGTTTAGTTTTTTTTTTTGTCTCGCGATATAAAAAAATATGTTTATTTATTATTTATTTAATTATATATATACATGTATTATATTAATAAATTTATTTTTAATATATTAATTTGATACAAATACAACATTTGTATATAATTAAGATGAAATTATATAAAAAATTATATTTTTATTAACATTATACTAAATTAAAATTATTAAATTAATTTCAAATCAAATTAGGTCAAATGTATGCATATATATATATATATATATAGCTGGTCAAAATCGGGAATACAAAAAAAATATGATGTCAAGTAAGAGTCGGAGTATGATTAAAATTATTAAAGAGTCGGATCGACGTTAGGTCAATTTTCCAACCCAACCAGCACCATATCTAAATGTAAGGTGTCTATGTGGCACCCCCATTTGTTTTTTTTTTTTTTTGCTTTGGCCTTTTCTCTAATTTTAGCTTTTTTTCTTATTAATTATCTATTTTAGTATTTCTTAATTATGTTTGGAAAGATAAATGGTTAATAGAGGTCTTCACATGACACCCCCATTTGGTTTCCTTTTTTTGGCCTTTCATTTTTTATTTTTTTTCTAATGAGATAAGTTTCGTAAAAATATAGGTCACCTAAAGATAGAAATGATAAAATAAATTGTATTTGATAGGTTTCGACCCACCTCAATCTAATAGGGACAATTTTTTTCATTTGAAAATTGGGACCAGGTGGGGGTCGGGGCAATTTTTTTCCTTTTGAAATTTAGGATCCAAATGGAGGTAGGTTTTGGGTGTCTTGCTTCGACCTCCTGGAGATATATATAAAAAATATTATTTTATTATTTATTTTTTATTTTTATATTTACATATATGTATTATAGTAATCATATATTATTTTAATATTAATTAAATAAAAAATTATATTTATATATAATTTATATTAAAAATAATTATTTTATTTTTTGTATACTGAGACTATCAGATTTAGATCTTTTGATCACTAGGAAGTATAAGGTTCAACACTTTATCAATAGATCATGTAAGTTGTGGCCAAAAAAATAATAGTTTTTTTAAATTATTTTACTAAATTAAAATTATTGAATTCATTTAAACGTCAAGCTAGATCAGATGCCAATAGAAATATATGTGAAGATGGGGTCTGAGTATTAAAAAAATTAACTCGATACCAGTGCTGAGTGGGAGCCAATTTGAATTATTAATAATCAAACAGGTTAGGCAAGTAAAAGCTAATCTTGACCTAACCGTTATCATCCCTAAATAGAGGTATCTACATAATACTTAAATCTTACTCCTTTTCCTTCTTCTTTTTTTTTTGACCCATTCCTTTTTTTTTTAGTTTTATCTTTCTTTTGTTTTTTTTCTAATTTTTAATTTTAGTATTTCTTAACTACGTTTTAAAAGATAAATTTGAAAATGTGAATTTTGATTTGATTTGTGATATAAGTTATGAGAAAGAAATACACATTGTACACAAATTAATTAATAAATTTTCACTAATCAATATTTTTATTAAAAAATTATAGATGAAACTATATTTACTGATTAAATTCATTATGAACACTATTTATTACAAACAACAAAATTTAACTCGTGTTGTGAGTTTGTATCTAGTAAATATTAATAATTAAAATATATTTTTAACATTAAATGATGAACATAGAAAAATCTCACAAAATATTTCATATATATATATATATTTCTCTGTGTGTGTATATATATATATACACCAGTACGGTTGAACTTTTTCTCTTCGTTTTGTTTTGGTAGAATCAGCGAGGATAATAATAGAGGCAAAAAAGCATTTAACAAAAGAAAACTGATGACAAAGGGCGGACTCCACTTCACTATGCCGCGCATTTCGGTTTCCGTTCAATTGCGCAACTGTTGTTAAAAGCCGATCCATCTACTGCTTATATAACTGATAAAGAGAGAGGGACGACGGCTCTTCATATGGCAGCTTGGATTGGCTGCACAGACATAATGGAAGACATTATCTCCTACTGTCCAGGTTGTTGTGAAATTGTGGACAAAAGAGGATGGAATTTTCTTCACTTTGCAGTCGTTTCTTTAAAACCGAGAGAATTAAAGAGATTCTTATTTGATGATAACAATAAGATTAAGGATTTACCAGTTAGAAATCTTATAGATGAAAGGGATATCAAGGGGAACACGCCTTACCATGTCCTGCTTTTTAGGAATTGTTATAGTGCTAAAGATTATGGAAAAGTTATTCGTATTTTTAAACTTCATGGATCCGAAGGACGTTTCCACCCATATTCAAGTCTAGAATCGAAGGTACGACAGCTGGCTCCACCCTACTTTAATTAAGTTTTACATTTCCTATTATATATATATATAATTTTACATTTTATCATTGTCATTATATATTTGATTGGAATTTTTTTTTTAAATTCTACCTATAAGCAAGTTAAATAGACATTTTTTTTTATTTATAGTTTTTTTTAGTTGAGACAGTTAGGATTATAATTTTCATTTTTTTTACTTGGTTGTGTTCTTACATTAAATATGTTTTTATATGAATCCAAAATTTAATTTAGTTAGTTCATACAGTTATTTTTTAAAAATATTCAGAATAGATCTGAAACTTGAATCCTAAAACCTACAATTTCTTTTCCTATTCTTATTTATATATATACTTCAATATATATTTATATATTTATATATTTATATGTTCTGATATAAATAAATAGTTTATTTCATTTGTAAAATCAAATATATCTTCAACAAAATAAAAAATATAATAAAAAGAATATTTTTTTAAAGCAAACAAATTATTTTTATTTAAATATCGAATTAGTAGATTTTTTTATTTGGAACATTGGATTATGCAATGAGAAGGAAGTTTCTATCATTTCATATATCTCACTTTTTCCATCCCAAAATTCTATAGAATGATCAAAATTAATCATTGTTGAAATCAACGCGTAATTATGTGCTGCAAATGGAACAGATTATGGAATTTATGAAAGATATAGCTAATAATGCAGAAGTGGCGGGGAAACCGGTTCACCGCCACTTCCGTAAGATTGTGAAGGAGGTGGAGAAGAAGGATATTGCCGAACACGAAATTGACCAAAAATCTAGGGAGAACCATTTACTGGTGGCAACGCTTGTAGCAACCGTAACATTTGCCGCAGCATTCACAGTACCTGGTGGATACAAGACTAAGCAAGGCACTGCGACCTTGAGTCGTGACTCAGCTTTTCAAGCCTTCATTATAACAGATACCTTGGCATTTGTTTCCTCTCTTTTAGCCATCTTCCTTCACTTTCTCTTTGTGCTTTTCTCTCCGACCAAATTCTATGTCCCAGTTCGTTGGAAAAGTCTGGCGGATTGGTTAACTTTTATGGCAATGGCAGCGATGGTGGTTGCTTTCAGCACTGGTACTTACGCAGTGTTGCAATCTTCCTTGGGTTTTGCTATCGCCACTTGTTTCCTTGGCCTCGTATTCTTTTCCGGTCTGCTCATACCCTTTATTTTACCTTTTTGTTAATTTATCATATTAATTATTTTATTTATTTTCTGACTGACATTGCAGTTCTTAATTATTAAAATAAACTTCCTTCAACTGATATGTTTTATTAGTTAAATTTTACAAATTTTTATCATCTATTTTCTTATTTACCTTAAAGTAAATTGTTCTTAATATTGACTTTTATTGTTCTTATTAAATTAATGTGCTCTGACAGGTACTCATCCTCCCAACTCTAACGCCTGACATCTTATAACACATATACACGTATAACCAACAGTCATTAATGTCTGAAATCATATACTAAGTATTAAATATAAACTCGATATTTATTGCTTCTGTTTTCAATCATTAATGTGCCCTTTATTTCTTTTGGATAGTAAGGAAAATCTTTCCTTATAATTATTTTAATTTAATCCTTATTCCATGAATTTCCTTTTGATTATTACATTATACGTTTGCATGAGGCCTGCAATTATGAGGTTCTAGATTTTAAGTTTTATTATATGTGAGTTTAATTATTTAGTTATTTTTTAGATTGTGAATTGATTATTAAATGATTATAACTTAATTATGATGTAATAATTAATTATATAAATAAAATACTTAAATTATAATGGTAATAATTCAAAAAAAAATTTATTTCACGGACAAAAGTCCCTAATGCTTCAACTCAAGTTTGAATGTGAACTTTTTTTTTTTTTTTTAAGTCAAGATATTCTTTTAGCATCTCCATAACTTCCAAGGTCATTTACTTGTATTAAGCACTGCAACCGTTGAATCAGCTTCGATAATTAAAGATTTAGTACAAGCCAAACATAATTGCAAAAAGCTTCTAAAGCCACTTTAATAGCATGTGCTTCGGCATAATTTGAATCAAACACACCTATAAGACAAAAGGACAGGTTATATCTTTAAATCAGCATTGACATTTGGGTCACCTCAAGATAATTTTGGGCTCGAGCTGTCTTAGATTTGGATCCTGTCAAATTCGAGCTACTTTAGGTTTAGTCCCTTTTAGTTTTTTTTTCCCCCAAGTTTGATCGATTTTGCATTATTACAATTCAAATATTCTTAGGTTTTACAAGTTTTAAATCAAATACATCTCGAGTTTGTTTTCAGATTAATTTACATTCAACTTGCTTTCACTTCATATTGTTTTGATTCAAAATTTTTCACATTAAAAAATCTAAGTTACTAAGTCAATTCAAATCAAATTAAAATTTGATCTGAAACCATTTGGACGATTTCCCGGGCTTGATAAAATTTTGCCACCTCTATCTTTTGTGCAATAATTCAATAACTCATAACTTTAAATCCAAATTTATGAGTTATTGGATTATTTTGGAAGGACTTTGGAACATTTAAACCAAATTTAAATTTTGAACTTTGAGACAAGGTAAATTAAAGTCATGCTTGTTTCTTTTAATTCTTGCTATGTTACCCCTATATATTTGGTTTGATATTCTTGTTTATCTCTATATTGACATATTAGTTGTTGCCATGGAAGCTAAATTTGGACTGGTTTATATTACATGAAGTGAGCTTTGTAGATATATATATATATATATCATTTGTTTATCTATCAGTCTATATAAAAATCTAAATTCTAAAAACTTTAAAAGTGATTAACTTAAATACTCTTATAACATTTCATATTAAGAAAATTATCTTTAAATATGTAGCTTTTCTTAATTATTTTTAAGTTTAATGTAAATTAACTAAAATTAAAAGTAGAGTTTATGTGAAATTAAACTATTTGAAATTTTAAAATTTTAATTTCAAAAGTATTAAAAGTGATTGACTAAAATATCTTAATAATTTTTTTATAAAGTCTAATTTAAATGAATTTTTTTTATTATTAGACTCCTTTTTATAATTAGACTTAAAAATATTAAAAGTGATTGACTAAATACCTTTAATAAAATTTTAATTCCAAAAATGTTAAAAGTGATTGATTAAAATACCATTAGTAATTTTTTTTATAAATTTTAATTTAAATGAATTTGTTTTATTATTAGACTCTTTTTTATAATTAGACTCATATTAAGATACAAAATATTATTTTTTACATCAAATAAAAATAAAAATAGAATGAGATCAAAACTTATTAGTGTACATAAAAATAGGAAAATAGTTTTTTTTAATTATTGTAAAAATAATTGCACATATAGTTTATGTTGATAAATAAATTTATTAAAGATAATCGTAATTAAGTTATTAAAGTATATTTATTTTTCTATTTTTTTCCTTTCAATTTTTTGTTTTAATTGATTTGCTAACTTTATATGTATGCTAATGATTTTATTGTTTGTTTGTTTTGTAAGTTGACCATTTGATTATTAATAACATAATTAAATCCTTTTATTCCCTTGAAATAATTCATTAATATATATCATTTTTACATTTTAGTCTAACCTCTATAATTAATTTCTCTTTTGTATTTTTCCTCTAAAATTTTATAATTGTTATTTTAATGAATAAAACTAATATTAAATCAAAAACAAATCAATTGCACATCTTTCACAAACAATTAACACTATGTGATTTATTAAACACTTTAAACACTTTAATTTAACTTATCACTTGTAGAATTAAATGATTTAGGAGGTGATGGGATTATCAATAGCTTAAAATTGAATCTTGTTAAATTGTCATAGGAATTGTTCACATTGATTAAAACAATGAACAATTTAATATTCTCTCAATTTTTATCTTAATGTGCATATATATGATTAATTGCTATTTCAAGATGATTTAATCTTTCTCAATTGTATTAAATTGCTCACTTTTGTTTGTCATTAGGTAGTTGAACGATCTAATGTGAATTTCTATAAGTAAAGAATTATCAAATGAAGTAAAATTAAATGTTTTTGGTTTTAAAACCATATTTTAAATGAGTTTATATAAAAGTTAAATTCATTTATAAAAATTTATGCTATTAATGCTTAAAATGAAATTATTATAAATTATATATGTGCTACATAACAAGTTTGTTATTTTGGGAATTTATTTTATTTCTTTTTAATTCTTAAAAAAATATTTTTATATAATAAGAATTTATGTCAATAAAAAATTTCAAATAAAAGAAAATTTATGCTTTCAATTGTTAGAACGTAAAATTACATTTAATTGATGAAAACACTAATGGAAGACTATCCTTTAAAAAAAAATAAGACAAAAATTTGACTTGTTATGTAGAACTCTATTTTTTTTTATATGGAAAAAAGGTTAGTGTTATATGATATTTTAATGAATAATATATAAATGTATTGATTTTAAATTTTTTTAAAATTAATATGAAACTATTTTATTAGGAGAAACATTATTTACTATTTAATTTTTCCCTTGTACCAATTGAAAAATGTTCATTGCTATATCAAAATTTTAAAGATTACTGTACTATGTAATATTTATTCAAAAATATTGGAATTCATCAAATCAATAATCACTATTATATTTAATATAAAAAATATTATTATAAATTATAATTTAATTAAACTTGAGTGATTTAAGGCTGTTTATTAGCAATACTTATTTGATAAATCTTTATTTAATTGTGTATTTAGTATTTCAGTTATTTTGAAATTTGACTTTTCATAATTTCAAGTTAGATTTAGACTTAAGATCAAGGATCAACTAGGTTTAGTCATGTTTTATGATCTATTACTATTTATTGTATACTCAATTATTCGCTTTTGTACTTAAGCAAATTTTATTCAATAATTGGTGTATACTTCTCTTTATTTAAAAAGTAATATTTAAATCATCTTAAATCCAAATAAAAAAATATAATGAATGAACAGATATAAACTTTTATTCACATGGTTATGACTTTTTGTATAATCATGACCTTTATGAATAAAAATTTATTTATATTCAAATAGTTATGATCATTTGTCATATGATAATTATTTCTGTTTAAACATAATTATTTTCATTAATAATTAAATCCTTTTATCCAATGTGGGATGCGTCACATTCTAAACTACTAACAATTCCCTACTACTTTGGAATGTTGGTGCTTAATTTTTACCTTTTACACAAATAAATATTATGAATATAGAAAAATATATCTCGATTTAAACCTTCAATTAGTGTATATATCTTAGAATTTTAACAAAATTGATGATGTTTGTAGATTAAACCTCAATTTCTAGTGTTAGCATTGAAAATATAACATATATAATTCTTATTTATTCTTCTATTAGAGGTTTATAATGTTTTTAGTACCATTATGACCATGCGCTTATTCTATTCATAAACATTTACGAGAGATACCTCAATTCTTCTTCTTGAAGCAGCACTATTTCTATGTTTATATAGGTAGAGTTCCATTATGTCACCATTACTTTAGTCATTTAAAACTCCATTAAGAGTATAAAAACTCATTCTCCCCATGCAATGGATCACACTAGTTTCTAAACTTTGAATGGATTTTACTAGTTTTTAATAGATACATAATAACTTATTTTTACCTATTAAACTTTAAAATTAAATGTTACTAATTCAAAGTTGGGTTCCTATTATAAGTGTCTAATAGTAAAGGTTTAAATCTATTCTACTTGTAGTACTACTAACCAAATATCTTCAAATTTAATTTTCTTTTATGGTAATTATCCTATCTTGAAAGTGAATCTCTAATATAATCACTTCAGACTAATATGTCCAAATTTTTTATTTTGTATACTATTTATATGCTCAAGACATTGTTGCCTCATTTTTATCATTTTAGGAAATAGTTGGTTTTGGTTGTGGTCACAACTCTATATTCATTAATTTTAACCATTCTATTTCCATACTTTTATATATTTTTAATACAATTATACTTTTAGTACAATTAGATAAACTCAATGAATAAATCAAACAATTTTAGTCCTTTTAAGATTTTTAAGGACCTTTTTATGATTTTACTTTAATAAGTGTCTAAACTTATTAGCTTCTGTAATTTACTCATAAAATTATACTAAAATCTTACAACATTATGGTGATAATTTTTATTTCTTTTAATTCTTATCACCCTTACCATGTGCAAGTATGCATTCTTTTATTAAAGAATGTCTCATTCAATTGTTCAAGATATCATATATACTTAATTAAGTTGCTATTTTCAGTTATCTTTTCACTATTTGGTAGGATTTTTTTTTTAAAAGTTGGAGGCCTCGAAATCCACTCTTGGTAAAAGATAAATAGCAAATCTCTTAATATTTCTATACAAATTCCAAAACTTTTATATTTTAACTCAA